TAATTTCACTAATGAAAGCCCATTTCTCATTTTAATTATGCCAATTAGCAAAGCTTTGGGAGTCTGAAGGGGTTAAAGGAAGCTGGAGGTGCTGGAGGAAGCTACCCTTGGAGTCCTGAGTGACCACTCCTTAAGTTTCCCTCCTCTGTCAGGATGGCTGTCTGCCTCTGGAATGCAATTTACGTGGGTTTCAGAAGCACACAGCTGCATTATAGTATATTGTCTTTACCCAAGAATTTCTGGGTAAATTGCAGACATCCTCACCAGCTGCTGGCTATTCTGGGCAGCTAGTGGGAGGGCAGATATTATGTACCATGGTATTAAAACTCTACCTGGAGAGTTGTCTGGGGCAGGCTAAAGATCACCCACAAGCCCTTCGCACCCTACTTTTTCTTTGACCCCAGAAAACACTTGGTGGTTTTCACATTCTTCGTTACGTCAGAGGAGATCAGTACTGAAAGGCATTTACAGTCGATGTCATGAACACATTTGATCTGAATCTTGATGTCGGTTCATCTTATCTGATACTTGGAGAAAATTCTGGTTCTTCCCTTATCTTCAAAGGGAGCAGTAGGCATTGGCTGGTTTAAACAAGACACCATTTAATGATGTCAGGCCCAGACGCCTGCAACCCAGATTCCTTAGCTCATTCCCCTTCACCTGCTGCAGTCTCTGGTGGCTTGGATTGTATCAGGCCTGGGGCATGAAGGTTAATTCCTCCTGCTGAGAGCCAACCCCGGAATTTGTGTTTGTTCCAACTGTTGCCTAACTTTCTGGTGCTGGGCTTTGAATGGTTAACTCAGCTTTGTTGTCTTTGAGCATTTCTCCCTAATCTGCCTCTGAAGCAGCTGTCCCCTGAAAGAGATAGATAGCAGCACCAGGAAGAAATCTCTTAGCTAGGCTAGGTGGCCCACCTGTTTAGTTCCAGCACTTGGGAGGCAGAGGCAGGCGGATTTCTGAGTTCGAGGTCAGCCTAGTCTACCGAGTGAGTTCCAGGACAGCCAGGGCTACATAGAGAAACATTGTCTCAAAAAAGAAAAACAATCTCTTGAGTTTGTGGAAAGAATAGGGTTGGACTGCCTGTCTGTAACTCAGAGGAAGGGAAATTCTTTGCTGTTTATACATAAAGTATGCAGCTTGGGGGGTGAGGGGAGGAGTGATCTCTCCAAGCTATACTGACAGCCCAAACTTAGACTTGTTATGCTAGACAGAATCTCTCCATGTAGCCCAGGCTATGCTGGAACTCACTTTGTAGACCAGGCTGCCCTTAGACTCACAGAGCTGGCACTCCCTTTCACTGTGCAGGTCCCAAGATTGAACTCAGGTCATCTAGCTTGGGCACTGCTCAGTCGCTGGCTGTTGCTACTTTATCTTTCTTGTCTATTTAACCAGCATTCTTAAGTAGCTTTTGTTGTTTTGAGGCAAGGTCTTGCTCTGTAACACAGACAGACTATCCTCAAATTCTTGGCAATCCTCCTGCCTCAGTCTCTTGGGTTCTGGGGCTATAGGTGTGAGCCACTGTGCTCAGTTATCATTTGGGTCTATTATTTTGTGTGACCATGCATGAAAATGCATGTACCAGAGGTCAAATCGCTGTGTCCTGTGTTTTATGAATAGCTCACTGGGATTTAGGATTCTCAGGGAGTCTCTCTACCTCTGCACTCCTCGCCCTAGCACAGGAACAACAAAGCAGGAGCTTGCACAGCTGGCTTTTTACACTGGTTCTGGGGATCAAGCTCAGGTCCTCATGGGCACTCTGTACTGACCAAGCCATTTCAAGCCCCAATCTTTTTTTAAAATCTGAATCCAACAGAAGATCTAGTACTTTTCATTTTTAACTGAAAGGCCATTTTTTTTTTTGACACAGCAAAAATACACTGTCAAATGCTCTTTAGATTTTTCAACATTTCGCATCCCAGTTGCCTTTACTTCATGAAGTATTCCTTTATGAACTAGATACGATTTTTGAGTTCTTGTTTGTTTATTTGTTTGTTTTTTCTGAGACAGGGTTTCTCTGTGTAGCCCTGGCTGTCCTGGAACTCACTCTGTAGACCAGGCTAGCCTCAAACTCTCGAACTCAGAAATCCACCTGCCTCTGCCTCCCAAGTGCTGGAATTAAAGGCGTGCGCCACCACTGCCCGGCGATTTTTGAGTTCTTGAAAGAGCTGTCAATATATCAACTTAGCACACTTGAGCTGTGAAGTGTTTAGGAGAAAGGGACACAGTTGATGCGGGAACCAAAACTCCAGTTATTTGTAAGTTCTGGGAAAGATAGACAAGCAGGAATTCCTATTTTAGAGACTAACAGGACACCCATAGAGTCAAGGGCTTTGCTTTATTTGGCTTGACTCTAAGCAAGCTGGAATAAACTTGTGCTCCCCGGGGCAGCATGGGAAATCCAGGACAGAGCTTGTTAGCCACAGTTTACAGCAGCTGCTCATTTTGCTAGACTGCAAAATATGTTTCCTGCCTGTAATGAGTGCAGCAGTGGGTGAATGCCTCCTGATTTCTCTTTATATTACAGTGTCGTCTTCTCATTTATTCTGAGGTGTTTCAGTAGAGCAGTGATTTTTTTTTTTTAATTTTATGTGTTCCCACGATCTTCCTATTGCTTTCCATTTTTCCTTCCTGAAGTTATAGAAAAAGGGATGCTGTGCTTTTCCTGTAGTTAATCACTGGCTAGATGAGACTGGACTCAAGGAGTGACTCTCACCTTCTATCTGTCACCTTCCCTGGTTGGTCTGCTTCTTCCGGCAATCGCTCCCAACAGAGTGAACCAGCTTTGGCTTGAGTCTACTTTATTTGAATGTCTGCCAATAAGTTTCTGCATTGAAAATTTCTGTAGTTACTTTTTTTAACTTCCACCTCCCAGTGCTGGAGATTGAATCTAGGGGGTCCCATGCATGCTAGACAAGCACTCATCCACAGTATGCTTCTGTAATTCTTGATGATATGAGGAGAAGGTGCTGACCTTATGAAACATGGTTTTGCTTAAATGGCTTTAAAACGGCATTGAAGGACCAAGGATGCAGCTAGGTGGTGGCGTGGCATACACAAAGCCCCCACCAGCATACATAAAGGAAGATGGCAGTAAAATCTGTACAGACAGGCTTCTCTACTTCATTGTAAAGATGAAAGAGCCGTTAGTTCATGATTGGTGACACACGCCTTCAGTCACAGCCCTTGAAGGCAGAGGCAAGTGGATCTCTGAGTTCAAGGCCAGCTTGGTCCACATGTTAAAGCTGGAGAAATGACTAGGTGGTTACCATGTTTACTGCTTTTACAGAGAACCTGGGTTGTATTCCCAGTACCTGTATAACAGGAGATTCACAAACAGCTTCTAATTCCAGTTTCAGGGGACCTGACAGAGTCTTCTGGCTTTCACACTCAAAGCAAGCACATTCATGATATATATTAAGTCACATGTAAACACACAGGTAAATAATTTTGTATTGTATCCTGTCAAGTCAGACCAGGTACATTGTAAACTTGAGACCGGAAAGCAAACCTGGCCAAATGGTTCATAATTCACTTCTGGAATTCTCTGAGATACACTGGAGTCCTGAGGTGTGATTAATCCTGGTTCATATTGGTATTTGATTTTTTTCAATTTTATTTATTTATTTATTTATTTTCAAGATTTTAAGTGTGTGTAGACCAGGCAGGTCTTGAACTGAGAGGCCAGCCTGCTTCTGCCTCCCAAGTGCTAATTAAAGTCATGTGCCACTGTGACTGTGTGTGTAAAATATCTTATATATGCATATATAATTAATATTATGTATTTATATAATTATATAATTTAAATTTAAAATTAATTTTGTAGATAATAAAAACTTGAAAGTAATAGATGGCTAGCCATTAACAAGAATACAGACTAAACAACTAAGAGGAGAGTATGGTGCAATGAAAGCACTAAGATCCCAGGCCTGATGGCGGGGTCCTTTTACCCACTAAACTGTCCTATGACCCTCTCTTCTACTTTAGAAGATGAAATTTTCAAATGAAGCTTGAATATATTCAACACTTAGTGAACAAGATGGAATCTGTAAGTTTGAGAGGTTTAGTGGCCAGGTTTCTTTTTTGTTGCTGTGACATAACACCTTGACCCAAAGCAGCTTAGGGGAGGAAAGGGTTTATTCGGCTTACAATCCTAGATCATAGTCCATCATTGAGGGAAGTTAAGGCGGGAGCTCAAAGCTGAGCCGACTTGCTACTCCGCACAACACTTCCCCCAGCCAGGGAAGAAGTACAGTACCATGGAGAGTGCTACCCGATGGCTGGTTCAAAGCCTGGTTTATACTCAACCAGCTTTCTTAGATAGTTCAGGCCCATCTCCCTAGGAGTAAAATTGTCCTCAGTGTGATGAGTCTCCTACATCAGCTAACCAACAAGGTAATCCCCCATAGACATGCCCACAGCCCTTTATTGTGGATCTCCTCTCAGAAGATTCTAGGCTTTGTCAAGTTGATCATTAAAGCTAACCAGGAGAGTCGGGCACCTGTCATCACACAGAATGGGTGTTTAAAGGATTAATAGAAAGGAGAGCTCTATTCATAAGTATGTGTCATTGTTCCTTCCTGTTTTCTTCCTGTTACTGAGTGAATTTCTTGATTGGCATCTGTCTTAGTCAGGGTTTTACTACTGTGAACAGACACCATGACCAAGGCAACTTTTATAAGGACAACATTTAATTGGGGCTGGCTTACAGGTTCAGAGGTTCCATCCACGACCATCAAGGCAGGAGCATGGCAGCATCCAGGCAGGCATGGTACAGGAGGAGCTGAGAGTTCTACATCTTCATCTGAAGGCTGCTAGTGGAAGACTGACTTCCAGGCAACTAGGATGAGGGTCTTAAGTGCATGCCCACAGTGACACACCTATTCCAACAAGGCCACACCTCCAAATAGTGCCACTCCCTGGGCCAAACATATTCAAACCATGACAGCATCTATATCCAGAATGTACATTTAACCCTTATTCGTCTTTTCTCTTTATTCTAGAAACCTCCCCAGCTTTCCGAGGATGCTAACCAGCTGAGAAGCAAGCAAGACAACTGTGGTGACAGTCGCCTGGAGCCTGCTGCCAGCTCTTTCTCCCCAGATCACAAAAACATGGAAATTGGGGTGTCCGTGACAGAATGTAAAAGTGTACCTGGAGTCACCTCTACTCCCCATTCCAAGGACCACGCCTCCCCTTTCTATTCGCCCTCACACAATGGCCTCCTCACTGATCACCACGAGTCTTTAGATAACGATGTTGCCAGAGAGATCCAATACCTAGACGAGGTGCTGGAGGCCAACTGCTGTGATTCCTCTGTGGATGGAACTTACAACGGAATCTCCTCCCCAGAGCCTGGTGCAGCCATCCTGGTAAACAGCTTAGGCTCACCTGCCCACTCAGCCACCGAGGCAGAACCCACTGAGAAAGTGTTTGGTAGGCAGGCCCCTCCTCACATCGAGCTCAGTAGAAGCCCCTCTGACAGCATGGCTGAAGGAGAAAGAGCCAATGGACACTCCACTGACCAGTCCCAAGACATGCTGGGGAACAGCCTGCAGGCACCTGCCAGCCCCAGTTCCTCTACCAGCTCCCGCTGCTCCTCCCGAGATGGGGAGTTCACACTCACCACACTGAAGAAGGAGGCCAAGTTTGAGCTGCGTGCCTTCCACGAGGACAAGAAGCCCTCCAAGCTCTTTGAGGAGGACGAGCACGAGAAGGAGCAGTTCTGTGTCAGGAAAGTGAGGCCCTCTGAAGAGATGATCGAGCTGGAGAGGGAGCGGAGGGAGCTCATTCGGAGTCAGGCTGTGAAGAAGAATCCTGGAATCGCCGCCAAGTGGTGGAATCCTCCCCAGGAAAAAACTATTGAGGAACAGCTGGATGAGGAACATCTGGAGTCACACAGAAAGTACAAGGAGCGCAAAGAGAAAAGGGCCCAGCAGGAGCAGCTACAGTTACAGCAGCAGCAACAGCAGCAGCTGCAACAGCAGCAGCAACAGCAGCAGCAACAGCTGCTACAGCAGCAGTTGCACACGTCCCAAGTCTGCACAACCCCAGCTGCTCACGAACACCTCGATGGCATTGAACACACAAAGGAGGATGTCGTCACTGAGCAGATTGACTTCTCAGCTGCACGCAAGCAGTTCCAGGTGATGGAGAATTCCAGGCAAACACTGGCCAAGGGCCAGAGCACACCGAGGCTGTTCTCTATCAAGCCTTTCTACAAACCTCTTGGATCCATCAACTCGGACAAGCCACCGAGCATCTTGCGACCAGTTACTGTCGGGGGAACTCTGGAAGACAGTGGCACACAGGCAGGCAAGGAGCAGAAAGCTACCTGTGTATCTGAGAGCCAGTCTGCAGGAGCAGGTCCAGGTAATGCTGCCACTCAGGGAAAGGAAGGACCATACAGTGAGCCTTCCAAACGTGGGCCCTTATCAAAACTGTGGGCAGAGGATGGAGAGTTCACAAGTGCCAGGGCTGTCCTTACTGTGGTCAAAGATGAAGATCATGGGATTTTGGACCAGTTTTCAAGATCGGTCAATGTATCTTTGACCCAGGAGGAGCTGGACTCAGGTTTGGATGAGTTGTCAGTGAGGTCTCAGGACACTACTGTCCTGGAGACTCTGTCTAATGACTTCAGCATGGACAACATAAGTGACAGTGGAGCTTCTAATGAGACACCCAATGCCCTTCAGGAAAACTCACTGGCTGATTTCTCTCTGCCTCAGACTCCCCAAACAGACAACCCCTCAGAGGGCCGAGAAGGGGTCTCCAAGTCATTCAGCGATCATGGTTTCTATTCTCCTTCCTCCACACTGGGAGATTCCCCATCCGTTGATGACCCCTTGGAATATCAGGCTGGGCTCCTGGTGCAGAACGCCATTCAACAAGCCATAGCCGAGCAGGCGGATAAGGCTGAGCCGCACACCAGCAAGGAGGAATCAGAACAGCAGGAACCTGAAGCAACGGTAGAGGAAGCTGGAAGCCAGGCTCCTGGCTCTGAGAAGCCCCAGGGCATGTTTGCACCACCTCAGGTGTCCTCTCCTGTTCAAGAGAAAAGGGATGTATTACCAAAGATCCTCCCTGTGGAGGACAGGGCACTCAGGGAAAAGGGGCCCTCCCCACCACCCACTACTGTGCAGCCCAGCGGTCCAGTCAACATGGAAGAGACCAGGCCTGAAGGAGGATACTTCAGCAAGTACTCAGAGGCAGCTGAGCTGAGAAGCACAGCCTCCCTCCTGGCTACTCAAGAGTCTGATGTCATGGTTGGGCCCTTCAAACTGAGGTCAAGGAAGCAGCGGACTTTGTCCATGATTGAAGAAGAGATCCGGGCAGCCCAGGAAAGGGAAGAGGAGCTAAAGCGACAGAGACAAGTGAGGCAAAGCACCCCAAGTCCCATGGCCAAGAACGCCCCATCGCTGCCTTCTAGAACCACCTGCTACAAAACTGCTCCAGGTGAGTAACAGCTGCACCCTGCACCCAGGTGTCTCGGAAAGTGACTCCTGCGTTCCCGGTTCTGTGTGGGGCCTCCACTTTGCCTTTGGCAGGAGGATTTCCACAACAGAGGTGTTAGGGTGTCCCCTGGAAGGACACCAAGCCTGGGCCGTGGTTGCTATTTCTCAGTGGCTATAATGGCTCCTTGCCTCTCAGTCTGCCTCGTCTTCATTTATTTATCGTGCAGGTTCCCACCCTTCACCTCTTGCAGGGCTGCATCTTGGCCAAGGGAGACATGGACCTTGGCAGGGTGGGGCTATTGTGCTATCTGTGTCTTCAAACCAGTAACTGGACCTTCAAAACCTATAGTTAAATTAAACCCATCTAATTTGGGGGATGGGTTGTGTTCTACTAACCCCTTTTGGGATGCTGGCTTTCTACCCAGCACTGATGGTCTTAACTCAGGGTTGCAGTCTGCAAGACACTCTGTCCATTTTCCTTTGGGTTGGGTTTGGCTTCCTTTATGTGATCACAAACCAGTTATACTCAGGTAATGATAGACCATCTTTATGGTAGTGATCCCAGTGAAATCATAACCGTCTTGGTTTCTAAGTCTACTCTGTGATGTTCGCACCATGAGATTGCCTAACAGCGCCTCCCACAGACATTATCTTAGAATGTTTTCCCAACTTCAGCCTATACATGTGTCTACTCTGGAATTAGGATGTAGGACATTTCTATCCATCCTTTAGACATTTCGAAAAGTGAAGCTACTACATGGACAAGGGCCATATTAAATCTCCTTTTATTGTCTGGGCCGCCCCTTTCTCGAATTGTTGGTATAGATGGCAATGCTGTGGACACCACTGTGGCTAACAGTGTGACCAGAAGCTTTTGTTTCCCATGTGGATACAATAGCATCTGGAACTCTGTTCATCTTGTCTTGGAGACCAGCTCCTCTGGGTGTGCTCAGAACTGGTCCATGCGTTGTATGGCTCACGCCGAGATAAGTGCAGGTATTAGAAGAAAGCATTGGAGAACATTTGATATCATCCTGAAACCCATGTGTTGGGATTACGTGTTATACGGTAGACTTGGGGGGAAATTGATTCTTCATCAAAGATCATTTAAGAAGCATTACCTTAAAGTGTAACCATCACTGTTCAACTTGGTTCATTTAGATATTAATTCCTTCATGTTGACTCTTGGCCTCAGTCAAATCTACAATGGCACAGGCTCTATTAACTTTTAAAATTTGAAATAATCTCAAGCCTAAAGGAAAGCTCTCAAGGCCAGTGCGTTTTCATTCTGGACTGCTTGAGAGTCACTTGGTACCATGATGCTCTACTACCTGAGTTTTGTAACACACCCCTCACGTTGGGTCCTTCGGATGCTTTCGTGTGATCACATCTCACTTTGCTAGGGGAAGCACGGCCAAATTGATGCTGCATCCTCACAGTGTCTAAGCAAGTTGCACATGGTATTAGCTCATTCTGGGATGGGCAGATCTTAGTTTTGACCATTCAATATTACTTTCGATCACTTGATTAAGGAGTGTTTGTAAGGCTTCTCACAGAGAAGCTACATTTTCCTTTTGGAATTAATATATATTTTGTTTAGACACACCTGACTATGGACTCTTTATCCGGCTCCTTATCAGACTTGAAGTCTCGGATTTCTTTACATCAATATGGTCTCATGGATTCCCATTTCACTCAATAATTAGTTATCATTTGTCCTGTTATTTTTATTGTTGGTTTGTTTAGTTGTAGTATGGAAATCCTTTCCAGCTCACTTTTGTGTCTTTTAGAGAAGCAGTTCTTTGAGCACTTCCTTACGCTTTGTTATTGCATGATGCTTCATTTTATCAGTCTTAGCTCCAAGAGCAAAGAACGATTATTCTCTTAGTGAGGAACGGGATGTATACGTCAGGATTGGCATGTGCATAGTGTTGGATTGTCCACTAAGGCAGGCTTAATGAACAGAATTGGAGAGCGAATGTGTATGTGTATTTTATTTATAATCTTTTATCTATCTATCTATCTATCTATCTATCTATCTATCTATCGATCTATCTCTATGAAATCATAGGTTCATATAGAGATCTTTTCCAAAAGTTAGTGGCATGGGGGTGGAGAGAGAGACTGTGAGTGTGCATGGCTTTGTGTGTGTGGCTTTGGAGGTCAGCGGACATTTTTTAGCAATCAGTTCTCACCTTTCACCTTGTTGAGCAGGCTCTTTCTTGTCTCTGCACCTGTACTTTGTAGCCCAGGCTAGCCAGTCTGCAGACTTCCCTGTAATTCTCCCTTCTCTGCCTCCAATCTCTCACTGTAGGAGTGCTGGGAATACAAATGTACACTGGTCATTTAGCTTTTCACTGAAGTTCTTGGGATCCAAACTCAGACTGTCAGGGGTACATGGTAAGCAATTTTACTCAGTCACATTTGTCATAAAAATTTCTTCCCTGGGGAAACAATTTTTACCCCATCTTTAAAAGTTCCCAAAGTCAAACCAAAATATAGTTCCTCCTAAGGTCATCCTAGGGAACCAATGAGCTTACTGAACACTGAGCTTACTGAACTTACAGAGCACTGGTGAAGGGTTGCTTATAGGAGCATATTGACCCCAAAGCTATAAGTCTTTGTCTAGCTTGGATGATGGCTTCCCCATAGCTGCATAAAGCTAGCTCCCCCTTTGGTTAACCTTCCCTGGTCTATGTGTTCTAGAGATACCTGAGACCTGGAGGCTGTGTGCAGAATTGCATGGAACATGGCTGGGAGGAGCAAAAGAGAGTATTGGGACTCTCAGGTAAGGGTCTAGTGACCCTCCCATCTGCTCTTCCTTTGAGGGAACAGTCATACTGATGACGGGCTTATGCAAGCAGGTACAGATTGTCTGATGCAGATGGCAGTGGTTTTGCTCAGAGGCCAGTGTTCTATGAAACACTTCTTCTCTTTCCATATTTACAGCTTACTTCTTGATATCCTCAGTATGGTATTTGTTTGACTTACTCTAGCCACACCATTTAACCAAACTCCTATTTTCTTCATTATATTATGAACCAGTATTAATTTCTAGGTGATCACCGCCCCTTCCTGCATTCTGTTTACGTCTCTGGGCCCCAGTGTCCTATATATGTCACTGCTGTCCCTTGTCCACCTTGCTCTGACTCCACAGTGCTCCATAGTCCACTGCGTTCTCCTCCCAGCTCTCTGCAGGCATCATGGTTTTTATCCCCAGCTAATGACTCTTGGACTGAACTGTTCAGGAAGGAAAGGGAAGGGCTGTGGAGGAGGAAGAGCACAGAGACTTCCTCGATGCGTTTTTAATGCCTTCAGGTCACAGGCCAGAGCCAGCTAAGTGCTTAAGGCAAGAAAACTGTCAGGGAAAGTTTTCTCCAGTGGTTAGCCACAAGAACTTGGCTTTCCCCAGCAAGACTTACTTGTCAAGTTCACTTGAAACTGCTTTGAGCTGGAACTGGGTTGCCACAGAGATGGAGGTGAAGCATCCTGCCCTGGAGAAAAGTCTTTGTACTATGCGATTGCAGCCCCAGCTTGGGAGCTACTGCTCAGGCAAGTGATGGTGATACCCAGAAGTTGGAAGCTTCACTGATGGAAAAACATTCTGTGAGCATCTTGGCTCCTGCTCGCATGGAAGCCATGGTTCCCTCACAGCCACAACATAGCCAACTTTGCCTATATCAATTGCGTTACTTCACTATAGAACCTTCTGAAAGTCCATATAGATGATGGACAAATTGGACTATTTGATTGACTATTAAAAAATACTTGGGGCTGAGTAGTTTATAAACAATAGAAATTTATTCCTCACAGTTTTAGAGATTTGGATGCCCAAGATTAAGGTTCCAGCAAGGACCCGTATCCTGGATTATAGAGGGAACCCCCCCTCTTGATGTCCTCATACAGTAGAAAGGAAGAAGACAACTAGGTAGATTCCTGTGGCCTCTTTTATAATGACATTAATAGTCCCATCCATATTGACTCAGACCCTATTGTCTGATCACCTCCCCAGAGCCCCCACCAAATACCATATGATGGGAACTACATTTCAATATATCTGTAAGGTTCCCACACACCAGACCGTAACAGAGGGTATTTTGGATTCTCCACTCAGTCTCTTAATGGAATCCCTTACCATATTGTCCCAGCTTTACTTCTACCACATAAACAATAGTTAGGTGTGAGGATATGCTGCTACCTAGTCTGGTTCCCCCAGCTAATGTGCCTGTCAGGCTTCCTTCCCTACTAGGGTTGGGTTTACTGTAGGATTGGTGCCAGAGTTGGCTCACTGACCTCGAGTTACCCGGTCCCAGTTTCCTTAGAACCTCCTTCTTTGTGAATGTGAATTTCCTTCCCCGTGTCTAATTCCCACTGTGTTCATTTTAGTCCCTTTAAGAAGACAGTAGCTGCTAGGCATGACGCTTCCTCGAATCCCAGCATTCAGGAGGCAAGAGGCAGGCAGATCCAGTTCGAGGCCAGCTTAGTTCGCATAGTGAGTTTCAGGATAGCCAGGGCTATGCTATGTGTAGAGAGACATTGTTTTGAAAAACTAAACCAAATCAAATCACCACCACCACCACCCCTCCCCCAAAAAAAGAAGAAAAAAGAGAAAAAAAAGAAAAATAGATAATAATTTATCTAAGTCTATGTTCTGTCCTGGTTTTATTGTTACATTGAACACAGTCATAGTACAATGTGAACAGTCCTCATCCCTTCATATTTATATTCAGAATATGCAGAAAAGACACCACAGCGTCCTAGGATTGCAGCATGGAGAGGGGAACCAAAATTAAAGTAAATAAAAATTCAGGTTTCTTTCTTTCCGAGCCTGGAAACCTCTGGAGTCTCGCTTGGCCAGCCGGCCTCTTAGTTTGTGATCCTGGAGGAAGCTGACACATTACTCTGGCAATTTGTGTGTTGGAACTTCTGGCTCCAACATGGCTCTCATGAATGAAATATTGCTAGGGTTTCCTCTGCACCACTTCGTGTTTCCTGCCAGAA